ACCAGAGAGTGTTGGAGTCTGGCGCGGTTTAGTGCATCCAATCCCAGTCCACACTTGTGCTAAGGAGACTACAACTGTTTCCCATTCAGAATGCAGCCCCCATTCCAGCCCACCCGCCCCTTGGTGGGAACCTCAACCCAGCTATGGTTGTCCCCCTAGCTCCCCAACTAGGCCTGTTCCCAGCCACAGATCACACGCATGCCAGTGATTGCTCTGACTCAGCTTGGCACAGCCCCTCACCTGTCCTGACCTCTGCCTTAGACACTGTGGCTTAGCGTTCCTGGCTCATGCAGACCAGTAGGTAGAAGAGACTAGCTCGGCATGATCTGTGCTCCATCCTGGCTACTAGTTTCGCTTGTGGGCTAAGGTTTGCTCAGTCCTGCCCAGTCCACATTGTTCCATTACCAACTCACACATTACCCAGATGTTGGAACTACTTTACCCAGCTTGTCAGACCCCTAGGTCTGGACAACAAGTTCACCAGTGGGAGCTATGATTTGCCAAGGGAGTTTCCCAAGTTCCTCCACTTAATCCACTCCCAGGCCCAGTTCTCATACATGCCATTGGGTTTTAGGCCAGTGCCTGACACAGTCTTGCCTTCATTTGGCCTTGTATGAGCTGGTGAACGTTGCAGCTGGCCCACCCCACACCCTATTCAGGATGCACATTTGGGTGCTGCTGCCCTGACCAGTGCAGACTGTTGTGGGTTCCTTTACCTGTAATTGATAGCAGGCTCCTTGCTCACACCTAGCTTAGTCCATCACCACCCCATCTCTTGAGCTAACCAGTGGAGCTAGAATTTCCACAGGGTTTGGCCCACATATCCCTCATAGAATCTGGCCCCTCTTATGGTTCCAGTGCTAGTTAATGTAATGGCCCTGCTTAATGTGACCCTTCTCCTGATCCATCAACATGTCAGGTAACAGGATATGATTCTGCTAGACAAGCCCCAAGCCATAGCTTTTGCATGGACTGGTATTTGGTGGTCAGCATTGTTCAGTGATTATAAGTTTTTCAAAGGAAGAGTTACTGCCATTGCAGATCTTTACGATTGCTTCACGTCCTAGAAGCACAGTGGGTTCAACCTGGAGCTACCTAAGCAGCAATTCAAAGAATCAAAACTCCAGAGCTCCCCAGCTGGGCAGCCAGCAGGTGGAGCCTGGGGCCAAATGGTGCACTGGCTGCCCAGGGACAGCTCACCACGTGCACATGTTGGCTGTCGTCTGGGATCCAGGCATGAGACACCCTGTCCTGAGACCCATCAGCAGCTGGGAGGCTGCTGGAAGTTTAAACTCCCAGGCCCAAGGTTGCCCCCTTCCCCAATCCCATTCACTGCCCAAAGAGAGCAGTGGGTGGGTCCCGGACCTGCCCAGTCATGGAGACCTCCCCCCTCAGTGTACTCACCCCAAAGGGAGCAGCCCCTTGGGCCCAGGCAGGCCCAGGGACAGCTCACCATGTGCACATCATGGCTGCTGTCTGGGATCCAGGCATGAGACCCACCCAAATGTACATTTTCTTGAAAATACAAGTATTTGGTTTTATGGAAGATGCTCAAAACTTAGCATATTAAAAACAAATTATTTTGCCACCTCACTTAACACCTCTTTCACATAACAGAGGGGAAATTCAAGCATTTATAGCTATTCATAATTATCTCCCTTCATGCATCCCACTTACACTATATTGTGCCAATTTTGTGCCTCGGTAATAACTGGAATGTCATTTAAATTTTCTGCTCAGTACACCATTATATTCCACATGGGTTAATGAACTAGAATGATACTGGTTTATTAGTTTACACTCCAGTTAGGACCATTTAGCTTTGCTCTTTATCTCTTTGTAGAAGCATTATTTTACATAATAAATATATCATTTCATAACACAGACATAATAAGGATATCATATATTGTGCACTCATATTTATTTATCTCTTTAATAATTATCTGTAACTTAAAGCTATTTGGAATATTAAATTCCAAAAACTACAACACACTAAAAAAGTATGATATATTACTAGAATATCACTTTCATTTTCATATTTTCTCTACTCCAAATATTCAGCTACTGTCTCTAAAACTCAGTCTTGTGTCATTTCAATTTAAACATATACACCCCCAACCCCAGGTTCTGGTATATAGGTTGGAAATCATTGACTTGAAAATAGTCATTTAATAAATCTCATGATACTTATTTTCTGACATTGGTAAGTAGGACATCTTAGAAGAAGAGAGATGCACAGAAAATGTCATTTAGAAATGAACTCTCTAGAAACATTATTTTTGTCACTGAACACTGTCAAGGAGATCAATGAGCTAAGCAGAGTCATCTCTCTTAAGGAGAGAGGCACGTGCAGATATCACTGTATCCAAGGTGCTTCTAAGGACCAAGAGCAGTAAACACTCAGCTGTCAAAGAGCTGAGAGCAGATAACAATAATTCCAACTGAAAGTATAAGAAAATTCACTTAAAGCACAGAATAAGCCTAACAGCTGGCGGAAAAATGCAATGACAGAAAGGAAGCTTACAAAGTTGATTGAGCTTACGACCAAAGGAGTCGCTACCGGCACACTCCAGCATAAAAAATAAAGGAGTTAAAGAAGCATGAGCATAGAAATTGTTTTCAAGCTTTGTTCAGTCAAGTAATGTTGAATTCCCTCTGTAATAAATCTATAGCCTTTAAAATTCACAGGGGATGAAAAAAAAACTTTCAATGATGCATGACTCTATATCCTGTAAGAAATAAAAGTTAACATCTCCAAGGGGATATTTTGGCCTTTCTTCATATGTGGACTGAATCACGACTCACAGATTTATTGAAGAAGGGTTGAAAATTACATAGGACAGGTGAATGTTTATGAGACCGATCAGATGTCATGAAAAGTATGATGAAAATTATTATGTTTAACGTTCATATAATAATAACGCTTTGAGTCCGGCTCTGGGGAAACAAACAGAGAGACGCTAAGTGATATCCTTGCACAGCCCTGAGTCACACACAACATAATGACGTGACTGAAAATAGTAGCACGGAAAGTGAACAACTTAACCTCATTTTAAAGTAGCTTCTTCACATGCAGGTAAAAACATTCCACGGCTGAAGCATTTGTTTCTCCAACACATAGGCAAATCACATCGTATCACTCATAATCTTTAAGATATTTATATTCAAGGTATTCAAAAAAGAGATTAAGTCACATTATACATAAAATGTAACTTCTGCCATAATTTAAAATATTAAAGTATGGAGAAACCATAAACATCGGATATGCTTTGAATGCTAATCTGCAAAAGAGAATGCCATGTAGCATTAACTTGGATTTATTGAACTTAGATTTATTGATCCACATCTTCAGCAATCTGATTTTTTCTGTTATTGTTTTTTGAAAAATGAGAGATCTCCAAATCATGCTCATTGGAATGTTCTCTATCTTTCTCTGTGGTAAGCAAAGAAAAATCATGCATATTTATTGTTTATTTCACTGACAGGGCACTTACTCATACAAAAACACATTAAAGGAGCAATTAGTAATTTCCTCCACATATTCTAGGTCATTAAAAGGCCCAGTATGAATAATGGGTTTAAACAAATTCATTTTGAGGCGAGTATATGTGAAACATGCCCCTGGCTCTGTGTTTAAAATCACCACACTTTGAGACTGGCACTGCTCTCTTCCCTCAGTTAACACGAGGCGGCGTCAAGCTGTGGTGTCGTCACAGCCTGATGAGAAATTGGAAAGAAATGTGCATCATTATTGCCTTCAGGAAATGTATGCAAGATTCCTCATGAGCTTAAGCGGTTATTATTCATACAGCTTTCTGAAATGTATTTTAAAAAAATACTGAACATAGATTTCTCATAGAAATGGCAGGAAAATATAAATGAGGAACATAGTCTTTCTGTGCATTAATATAACCAGACAATAATGTCATGGAAGAAAAAATATATATTTTAATGACAAAGAAACATCTTACGATTTCATAATAAAAAGACAGCTAAAGTCAGTGGAATCTATAAATGTACTATCTATCCATTTAAAATAAAAAGAAAGAAAACAAAGCATTAAAAGAATGCTCTTGTCTCACACTCTCCTAACCTACAATTTGTCCTTATCCTGCTTATTTGTGAATATAATATCTCAGCAATAAGCACTAAGAGAAAAAAAAAACCTTTAACAAAATCATTAATTTGCATCCATGGTTCTCCAGATTTCAGGGCTCACCAATAAAGATTTGCTTTTAGAAGTGGAGCTGGCATGCACAGAATCCAATTTAAGATATTGCCTAAGCCACTTATTCTCAAAATTATATGCATGTTAAAATATCTGTGGATTTTTTTTTAAAAAAAAGGTATTAACTACTGGAATTCTTTCTAAGGTGATCTGATTTAACAGATCTGTGAGTGGATCCCAGGTGCTCAAATTTATTATTTAAGGACCTACGTACCACCGTTGTTGAGAGCTATTAACTTTTGAAAGCACCTTTTGAAGGTTTAATTTTAAAATTTTATAATTTGTGATAACTATATTTTCAATATCATATATTGGTGGTTACTAAATGCATTAGAAGTCTTTCTGGAACTTAAAATATTTTGTTGGGTTAGTTAGTTATTTATTGTAAATAATAAGGTTAACTTAGAAAATAGACAGGCTCTGTTCTAAAAAGATGGTCTCTTACATTGTTCTTCACATGATAGGGAAAATTTTACAATTCCGCATACTGTGTTGAATTTATTCCCCAATGTTTCAAGTAATTCAACAACCTACTCAGATCCCTTCTGTTAACTGTTACCAACCAATACAAATGCTATCAGTTTTCAAATGTGATTGCCAATTTCAAAGATCCGATTATTGTGCGCTACTTAAGCACAATTATTTCTAGAATTGATACAGTTTATTGTAAGACCAATATTTTGTAATCTATCTTATTATTTCTCCCAAAATGACATTACACTAAGCATAATCCATCAATCCATGTTACTTTAAAAGACACAATAAAACATACCTTGCTCTTTGTCCTGACGTCCGGAATCTTAGAGGAGGTTGTCCTGGGTGGAAGCAACATCTGTGTTGGGTTCGATCCAATTAGACTCAAGGGGGGTGGTTGATCCCGAAAAACAGATGTCAGACAAAGTTGTACAGTCTCCTTCATAGCCTTTATTTGTGACTCCTGAAAAAAAAAAAAAAAGTAGGTTCCTTTCAACATGTGTCTGCCTCCTACAGACTTTCTACCCAGCATCCTACTAACACAACAGGAAGGCAGATGATGACTCACCTACGTGAAATTTATCACCCACAGGGGAGACACAGATTGAGCTCTGCTTCCTTACTTCATCCTTGCCTACCCCAGGCTGGGCAAGCATCTGGAAAATGACCCAGCAGACAGACGGTCTCTCTCTTTCTCTCTCTCCTCTCTGTCTGTTTCTCATTCTATTATTCTGCTTTAAAATAAGTAAGTCAATTTCAACAAAAATAGAAAAAAATCCCTAGTAATGTGGGCCCCTATGTTCCTCACGTTAACCTTTAAATCTATTTTGAATTTTAATTCAAAATTATAAAGAAAGAAACTTGTCTCCAACAAAATTCATTCCTTCTGGACCTTGTTAGGTAGTCGGAATTAGTTCAGTGTAATAATAAGTGCCAATATTAACATTTTCTTGTATTATCATAGGTAATACTATATCTCATGTATTTTCCTGAGAAATAATTTTTGCTATTATTCAGTGAAGAAAAGATTAAAATGTTCACACAAGTAGGTTAAATTTAGATCACAAGGCGGACAGGCATTTCCAGCTTCCATCAAGTCCGTAGTTTCCAATGCTAGAAATGTTCTGCAAATTAGTAAGATTAACAGGTAAATATGTGTTTTAATAGGTTGAGAACAGATGAAAGAAATATCCTCAGTTACTAAGATGAAGAAGCATAAAACATTTGGAAACACACAAGGGCTGTTTCCATGGCAGATAATGCATAATGTACAAAGTGAACATCCATAACAATGAAACAGTGTCATGGTAACACGCATGTACGGACATGGGATGTGACCTTTGGACCAAGAGAGATGAAGAGAAGGGTGAATTTCCAGAACCAAGATCCATATGTGGAATTTCCCTTTCAGTGCTTCTTGAATCTGGAAACAGGAAAGCATTTTGTCCCTGCCTGACAAAAGGATGTATTTCAATGAAACTGCTATTTTATGCAAGGACCATGAGGACATTTGAAGCAGTTCATGGAAACATCAAGCCAAAAATAAATTTCACTTGATAAAAAATGCTTTTTTAATCCCTGCATAATTTTTCACTGCACATACTTTCCATGAAAGTTTTGAAGAGTTCCTTACATCTTCATGTTACTATTTTGTTTTTGCCTATTTTTAAAGCAGCAGTGACTGAAACAACTGGAAATTGTTAGAAATAGGACATATGTGAGTTTCATTTTCATTCATCTTGTCCTGTCAAATTAGCAAGGACAAAAATAAAAGCCTTGTGCGCGTAGGATGGAGAAGAATAGAGCAGGAGAGACGTACGGTCCATGATGACATTTATTTTTATTTGTGTATTTTTCGCTCAACATGGTGCTTTGACATGCTAATCTCAGTTCCTGTAATCTTCCTGCTCCAATTCACTGCGTTTCTTTGTTCTACCTCTTCCTTCCTACAGAAGCTTCTATCAACATATTTCTAACATATATTTATAGAGAAATATATTTATGTTTATTTATTTACTTGAAAAGCAGAGAGATTGAATCAGAGACAGAGAGCTCCTGTTTGCTGATTCATTTCCCAGAAGTCCACAGTCGTTGGGACTGGTTCAGATTAAGCTGTGACTTAACTTAACCTACGTTACCACACAGGGAATAGAAATCCTGATACATTAAAGAAAAATAAATAAAGAGCTGCTGGTCCACTCACTGAAAGATTGCATCTGACATCAGGAACCTTTCCCTTTTGGATTCCAGAGTGCTTGCAGCCTCTGCTGTGTACCATTGCTACTGGGATCACGAGCAAAGCCAAGACTTGTACCCAAGCAATCCAAGGCAGGATAAAGATAGCCTATCTGACACAGGAGCAACTCAAACGCATAACCCCTACTGCCTGTGTGTTCAAAATTTCATATGTAAGGCTTAGCACAATTCCTGATACAAGAGACTCTCACATTTTTATTAGTCACGTGAAAAAAACTCAGTTGAAAATTCTTTTTTTGCATGTCAGAAAAAGAAATTTATAATTTATTAGAGAGAGAGAAAGAAGCAATGTTGCCATTTTCTCTCTGTATTAGCTCTTTGCATCAGTCTTGACTGACCATTTAGGGCATTAAATGTTGTAATGTGAGAAAATTATCCAAATGGTATTAGCAAGTTAAATAGTTTTCTTTGCATATAAAAGTGAGACAAAGGAAAGACAAATAAATATACCAGAAAATAAAATTCAGACATGTCTTGCATAACGACTAACGTTAGTTATTAAAATGGCCTTGAAATGTGGACTTTCAATGTCTCATCATGAGAGAAGCGCTGTATGCTGATTTGATAGACAAACCACAAATGGTTAAACTCAAAATAAGCACAAAACAGCATCAATTACTGATTTAAATATCCATTCTCACTAAATTCTATTTAAACATAATTTTTAATGAATCCTTAAAGGAGATGTATGATCATGTTACAGTTTTAATTACTTGAACTTTGATGCAATCATTTTCCTCAACAGGCCTCCTGATACTGCCGGAATTAATAAAGTCTTCTCTTTTGGCTCTCTGTTTTTTTTGCTTTTTTTTTTTTTTTTTTTTTTTTTTAGCAAAAGCAGTTTTTCCGAGAGGAGGAGAGACAGAGAGATCATCTGCTAGTTTGAGGTCATTCCCCACTGGCCTCGCAGGCCACAAGCAGGCAGTTGGACAGGAAGTAGAGGATCTGTGACATAAATTGGCACCCACATGGGATCCCAGCACGTGCAAGGCGAAGGTCGAAGGATTAATAAAGTCAATATCACATAATAGGGTATTTTTAAACACCGGTTGTTTCATAGCCATGATACTGAGTTATCTTTGTAAATTTTAAACTGTAATTAATGCCTTAGCTTCTAGTTCCTTTTCTTTCTTTCATTGTTTTTAATTTTTTTTTTCTTTTTTGCCACACCATATGTGCCCTCCTGTTTTACATGGTTTCATTTCTTTCAAACGCTGTAGATTTTTGCTACCACATATCATAGAATGATCATCAACCCTTTCCTTACGTGGTCCTCATTCTATCTAATTGCCATTGACTCCCTCTAGCTTAGTGGAGCCCTGTACTAATGCTAGTCTGGGTTGACTTCATCCAGTGCCAAAATCAGGTGCCAGACAATCTCTAACCTTACTGGAGGAAGTCTGTTTTGCAACTATAGACTATGCCTCACTGTAAGCTCTGCTCCAGCAACATGTCCTCTAATAAAACATTATGTATACTCTGTACAGAATAATTTTCAACATTTTACAAAATGTTGTCTTCTCAGGTTAGCATTGTCATTGCCCTGTCTTTCCTAAACTTACACCAAGTCATTTTGCCACTTGATTCTTCCCTTGTTTCTAAACTAGTTGCCGTAACCTAATTGTGCCATGTGCCACCATGCCCTTTACCTAGACACTGCCTGCTCCCTGCCGACAGACAATGCTGAACTTCATCTTAGAGAATTTACAAGTGCTATTTCCTTTGACTGAAGAATCTTTCATCCGATAGCTACTTAGTAATCTGCCACATAAAATCTGTGTCAGCTCCTGTGTTACTTTTTGTAAAACCGTCCTGATCACCCTTTGCAGAAATGCTCTAGCTGGACAGTCTTTACCACATGTTTTATTTTTATGTTTTATTTAGCCCTTAGCATCATTTTATATTATCTTATTAATACATGTTTCTTTCAAGCAAAATATAATTTCTTTCAGAGCTGGCAGATTTTTTTATGGGACATCACGTTTCTAGTCCAACAAATATTTGCTAAATGAAAAAAAAAAAGAAATATCTCTAGTGAATGTAGCATGCAGTTCTATTATATGAAAATAATAAGAACTTTTTTCATTTTTCTCTATAGAATAGGTGATAAATTTCAAAAAAGTGATTTTGCATTTTAAATTATAATAACAAATACCCTATGTAATATGAAAACTGACAAAATTATTGTTTACATGCACATTTTCAGCATGTGCATGTTTATGCTTTTCACAGAAAAAAATAAGTCTTTTTTCTAAAATCTATTTGCTCTAATGATAATTATGCCCCTAATTTCCAAATACTAATCAGATGAAAATTGACTTTATCATAATGTGTTCACTTAATTTTTTTACACGAAGATGTTAAATTCTCAGAAATAATAAGTTGCAATAATAGCTACTGACCTAGGATCCAGGGGTTGGAAAGCGATAGAGTCACATATGGATTCAGGTATATAAATCTCAAAATTAATCTGATGGTTATCAATTCCTGCTGCAGGAGCCTCCATGTCCCTTATAGATAGTTATTTGTTATATCCCTGTTATATTCTAGATACTATGCTGTACAAAAAAGGTTCATATTCAGGTATTACTGCCTCCTGAGAATTTGTATAGCTGCCTTAAGTCTTGTCATCTATAGAATGGATTCGATTATACATGTTCTCTGGTGCAAAATTCTGTAATGGTCAGATGCTCTATGCATCTGATGGAGTTAAATTTTGAGAGATTTCCATATCCAAACGCTGTTTAGCTGGGTTTTTTGTTTTGTTTTGTTTTTGTTTTTTTATTTTTTTGCATTTCAGTTGCTGAGGATTTATAATCAGTGGTTTGAAAACGTAAAGCTGATTCTTAGATTCTGTTTAGAGATAGTATAATAAAACTTCTTTCAGTAAATGAAACATGAGACCCAACACAAAATATGGACTTGTTATTTTTATGGTATTTACAAGTTATTTAAGATCATTTGAAGAAACAAATTCCTCAGAAGCTAGAGATATGAATATAAAAAATTCTCATGTAAAAGATGGAGGTAAAGAACGATTTCACTAAATGAACCGCACTACATTTCTGATCCATTTTGAAGTGAGCTTGCATTTCCACTTGACTGTAGCACTGCTGTTTAAGAGCTTCGACACATATTTTTCATGACATTTGTTTAAATCAAGCTCCAGCTCTGAGTTCACTCTGTCTGAAGCAGTGAGAATATTCTGAGGTTAATATAGAAATTGCTATCATAGTGAGGCAGAAGCTTGTAGAGGATTTTCCATACATGAAACACTATTTCTAATACTTCAGTGCTTCAATGATACCTTTCCCCTCACCTTTATAAAGGTGGTGGGAGTTTGAGAGGGTGAAGATGACTACATCTTAAGAGCACAAATCTGTTTATAAGATGCTTACATCTACATCAGTGTACCTGGGTTCAACTCTCAGCTTTGACTCCTGATTCCTAATTTCTACTAAAGTAGAACTTAAAAAGTAGCAGTGACGGTTCAAGTAATCGATTCCTGTCATGTGCACAGGAGATCTAAATTGAGTTACCAGCTCTTGGCTTTGGCTCCGAGCCAGCTCTGGCCATTAGGGTAATCTGCGGTGCAATCCATGGGTGTGAGCTCTTTCTTACAGTCTCTGTCTCTTTCTTACTTTGTCTCACTCTATTTATGAAATAATAAAATAAATATTTTAAGTAGAATTTCTGGATTTTAACATAGTTTAGTGGAAGTGTTATGACAAAAACACAGGGAGATTTCGAATTCTGGAGATCAATATTTCATATTTGCTCTTTCAATTTCTCTGTTCTATATATACATATTCTCCAAATCCAATCACCAACCCCAAAACAATCCATTCTGAGCTTAACCCACACTACACAGCAGTCTGGATTTCAGGATCAGAGGCGGAATACTGCAACATTGCTTTGGTAAATTGTAATTCTCTCAAAACAGTTTTAGGCCTACATCATTCCATATGATCCATATGATTAAAGATTTCCTTAATGATTAAAGATCTTCATTAAAATGGTTGCTAATTTATAATCACAGAAATAGAAAATACTTGGCATCAGATAGAATCATTTCTTCAATTTTTAAAAAGTGAATTTGAGGGACAGGCATTTGGCCCAGTGTGTGAGTCCCTAGGTCTGATCTGGCTCCAGTTTGCAGTTCTAGCTTCCGGAAAAGATCCTGGGACGCCATCAAAGAAAGAATCTAGTAATTGGAACCCTGACTCCACATGAGAAGCTTGGAACCAATCCCAGGCTTCCAACAGTCACAGCGGGGGTTGGAAGACTGAACCAACAGATAGAGCACTCTGTTTCCTGTCTATAATCTGCCCCGCAAATAAATTAATCGCTTATAAAATTTTATTAAAAAAAAACACAGGGACAAGAAAACAATATAATAAGTTTTAGGTAACTAACAACCTGAATTCATGTTGAAATGTATTATTTTGATTATAGATAATAGATTTGGGGCATATATGCATTACTAAGACATATATGTATTATTAAGGTATTGCAAAATATAGAAAACAAAATTAAGACTTTAATTTGATGCAAAAGCTTCTGAATCAATGCACAGTTTTTGTTTCCTAAAGTGTTTTTATCATGAATTTTTGAAGCACCCTTTTGGAAGTGTAGGTATATAATGCACACAATATTCATGTATGAATTAAAGATAATTTGAGGGTACTTCACGAGATCATTGAAAATATAATTAAACATGTGAATTTCTTTGGAAGCAAAAATATAATCTCTGAAGTTTTTGCAATATTTATTTTACATGTATGATACACAAAATAATGTTTTACTGTATAAAAATAATTGGAAGTAAAATAATCTCATATATTTAATGCCATTTTTCTCGACCTTTGTTAAGTTGAAGGCAGATTTACAGAGAGAAGAAGAATGGAGCACAAAGAGATCTTGCATCTGCTGGTTCACTCCCCAGATGATCACAACAGCCCGAGTTGAGCTGATCTGAAGTCAGTATCTGGGAGCTTCTTCCAGGTCCCCTGTGTGGGTGTAAGGGGTCCAGGGACTTCAGTCAACATCTTTGCTTTCCCAGCCCAAAGGCAGGGAACTGGCTTTGAAGCAGAATGGAAAGAACCAAGCCCCAAATCCGGATCCATGTGGGATGCTGGCACTGCTATTAGGGAAGCCATTCCACCAACCCCATTCCTTGACGTTACTAATGAATCATCAGCTGCACAATTTTCAAATGATAAAACACTAGAGATACAGTAAAAGCAGTCTCCATTAAGGAGTCCTAGTTCAATTTTACTCAGTCTTTCTCCGGAGCAAATAATATCTATGTAAACTATTTATTACATTTCTTTATGGGTCTTGTAATTTAAAAAATGGTTTTTGCATCTATAATATTATTAAATATTAAACAGATATTACTTTTCTTGACAGCAATATTGATACAAATGTGCATTCATATCAAATCTGGATCACAGTTCAAAATCTAAGAAAATATGAAACATATATGTATTAAATCTCCTAATACTAACCAGATATTTCTATTTATCATTAATATGGAAATTTCTATATTTACTTTTCTCGAGTTTGTTTCCAAGTACCTAGAGATAAGTACAAATTCTAGCATGCACACATTTGAAACTCAGTTACAACATTTTGCTGTTAGTGACTACTTCCATTTGCTTTATAATGCATTCAGCTAGAGTTAATGCATGCTATCTCATTTGGTGTTGTAAAGCATGTTTATTCATAGGGCTATAGAACAAATGTACCAGTAAGGTGAAAAATGAAGTCATGAACTCACAGAGACAGAGCCTTCAGTCAATTTACTATGAGCAGCAAAAACAAGAAAAAAATTGGACTCCAAAGGGAATATCAAACATTCATGAATTCCATAACTGTCTTCTATGCTCAGCATATGGAACTGCATTAATAAATCAAGGGAAGCAATGAGCATACTCCCTCTTTTTGCTCAGACCAAGATTATGATATTCCATGAATGCAAACTTACCCTGTCCAGAGCTGCTTTCTCCAGTTCATTTTTGGCTACAGCTAACTTTTGTTCCAAATCAGTAAGTTGTTGGGCCTGCAAAATAAAAGATGATTTTTTTTTCAGTAAGTTTTACCATCTCAAACCTCTCTATTTTAAGTATCTGCCATTCAGGGATTTTTAAGAGAATAAGTAAAAATGTTACCCCCAAATATTCATTTAGAATTAAGGTGTTTTTTAAGATTTATTTTAATTGGAAAATTGAATATATAGAGAAGAGGAGAGAAAAAGAGGAAGCTGTTCTGCCAGATGATTCACTCCCCAAACAGCTGCAACAGCTGGAGATGAGCCAATCCGAAGCCAGGAACCTGGAGCTGCTTCTAAGTCTCCGATGCCGGTGCAGGGTCCCAAGGCTTTGGGTGATCCTCCACTGCTTTTCCAGGCCACAGGCAGGTAGCTGAGTGGGTAGCGAAGGCGCCAGGATTAAAACCAGTGTTCATATGGGATTCTGGACATGCAAGGCAAGGACTTTAGCCGCTAGGCTACTGCACTAGCCCTTAGAATTAAGTTTTTAGAATACTGTATTACCTGATCATTTCGTCAGTATGCAGGAAATGGCTAATTCTGGTTGAACGTACACTTACTGTGCATTGGACCAAAATGCATTGTTCCTAAGATCCTATTTATTTTGATTTCAATCCAGCAGTTATATCCCTAATTGTCACGCGAATTTTGAATTTTGTTTCCTGAAAAGTCACTGCAATGTGATTTTCTTTGAAACTAGTTTTCTTTTTTTTTTTTTTCCTGAGTGATGAGAGTGTGAATTAAAGTTAATTAAGGTCCAAATTTTGGGACTAGAATCACATAGGACTCATGTACTTATGCGAAGTGGGACACACACCAGACAACTTTCTTTCTATTATTTCCAGAGTAGAAATGCGACCGTAAGTGTGGCATTGGAAGGCATTTTCTGAAAACCATAAAGAGCCCTTATCAGAACCCAAATCTGCAGTTAAATCTTGAACTACTGGCACCCAGAACTGTATGAAAATATATTTGTATGGTGTAAGCCATCCATCTACAATGTTTTGCTTACAGCCTGGAAATACTAACATCAGCATTAGCTTTCATACTGGAATTCACTATATATTAATGATGGAATGTTAATCCCATACTCATCTTTACCTCACATACGCATAACTCTAATTTTGCCTAAATTTTGATTGTTGTGTTGTTAAAGGAAAATAACGCATATTTCATCTTTGAGAAATATCTTCTCTATAACTGTCCATTTTCAAATTTCTTCTTTCAATTTTTTTAAATTTAACTGACAAAAAAACGGTGTGTATTTATGGACAGATGTTTTGGTATATGTAGTCATTATATAACCAGGGTAAATGAATCTATCTCTTCATACATTTATTATTTTCTTATGTTGAAAGCATTTAAAATATTTTTTCTAGATTTTCTTTCTTTAGGAAAAGTATACATCATTATTAGCAATGGTTGCACTATTATTTAATAGAATGCCAGAATTCCATTACTCTAAGCAAAGCATAGCATAGTACTCATAAAGTAACATTTTACCCACATCCCCACCTCTTCACTTTTTGTTCTTCTCCAGGGCCTTATAAAGCCTAGTGTGGAAAAAGGATAGTTTCCACAAAAAACTAAACACAGAACTATCATATGATTCATCAATTCCATTACTTGGTTTTTATGCAAGGGGAGTGAAATCAGTCGTTCAAAGAAAAATGTGCACTTTCATGTTAACTGAAGTGGTAATCACGGTAGGCGGGAAGTGGAAACAATGCAATTGCCCTTCTGCTGATGAACAGGTAAGTGATGTGTAATATACACAACAGAATTTCTTCAACCATTGAAATGGTTGTTTCTATACATATGCATATTAACAGTTTTGTTCAATAAATTCTTTGAAAATACTTTTCCAACTACGTTTTTTTGCCCTTCACATTATTGATCATTTCTTTTGTTACATAATTGCTTTTTATACCAGAATTTCTGTAACTACAGAAGAATTAACTTTTAGTGTCCAGACAAAAACGGATGCCTAGCGAAAGAGCTGACACTGGACTCTCTGACAATTTCCATACCTACAATGTTGGGAAATACTTCAGTAGCAGAATTATGGACATATGACTGTTATGTCTCCTTTCTTTCACCAAAAAAAGTTTAGAAGCTTTAAATAATTCATTTTGATTTAAAATGAGATGTTAAAGCATGAACTCATTGTTTTCAATATCTATGAGCTTTTCTTGATATCTTTTATTGCAGCGTATGGTTATTTAAAAAAAAAATTTGAATGGGACTCAACAAATTTGACTAATAACTTAAGTAACCTCTCCATAAACACGAGTGTGGGTCTGGAAAGAAAGCTGAGGAAATGAAGCTTTCAGCAGAAAACTATCCCTTTGAATCCCTGTGTTTATTCCATGTAAATATCATTCATTTTACTAAGAAGCATGATGAACTCCACTCATACATTAACTTTGATCAGAAAGAAAAAAATGGTGTGGCTGTCAAACCATTTGAGTGTTTCCACATGTTCTTAAACTACCTCTAGTTCACACTGTTAGCATTGGGATTCATTGTACTCTATTTAAATTTACTATTCTGTAATGGTTTTTGGACCCTAATTAGTCAGTGCTAGACAAGGATAATATATTTCAACAATCTAAAATATTCTTAAAATGTCCAGAAGTTTTATTCACTATGGCTATCAGAAGTTTTTGTTATGCTGCTTCTCCAAAGCCAGGAATTTCTGAGACATAGGTAAATATACAATATTTTATATATATATATATATATATAAATAATATATATAATAATATATATTATAATATATTATAATATATTATATATTATTATAATAATAATTATAAAAGCTGTATTATATATTATATATATTATATATATAATATAATAATAATTATTATTATAATATATATAATACAGCTTTGATATACAATCTGGAAACATCTCTTTTCCTTTAGTGTGGGATTTAATAATGACATGAGGATAAAATGTTTCCAAAAGTTACTGTAAATCTATGTATCTTTATCTATTTCAAACATTCTAAAAGACTTTAACTACAGGGGAAGTATGAGCCCAAATTATAATATATCACATAATTGTTAACTTGAAAGATATTGGAAGAAATGAAAATTACCTAGTTTGTATTTTTCTTAGAAGTTATCAACAACTCATAAACTTGAATCTTTTAAAATCCTCAGTGAGAAGAAACTCAAGACACTGCATAGATATGTTTTGCTAATTACAAAAATTAAAGGCTGCCTCAAATAATTTGCAGCAGAATAATAAAAGTCAAAAAAGCTTTCCTGTTAATATATTGACACATAATGAGGATTTTTATTTCTATTTAAATCTGTCCATTTATGTTAGCATTGGTTTCTGTTTTTTTTTCTATTGTTTTTCAATCTTCTCTGAGTTCATAAAACATATCATTTCTTAATTACCAGTATGTAGCAGGTACATATGCCAACTCATGAATTAACCTCTCAGTATTTTCATTATTCCTAAATTGCAGGTATCAATATTCATATTTAGCAAAAAACAAATGTGGGTGAATGCATGGTGAAAAGAAAATCCTGTTCACAATTGGCGGAGTAGAAATTGGTACAGTCATTACAGAAAGCTAAATGGAGTTTCCTTATAGAACTATAAAAATAGGTTCCTGGAGATATCCAGGATTCCCACTTTTGTAACACTTTTAGCAACAGCCAAATTATGGAAATTATCTCCTAAGTTTCAGTTAATACAGAACCACACACAGTCATATCATACTAAATAGAATTAATGCCTTTATAGTTTGTAACAGCATGAATAGAATCAGAGGACATTATGCTAAGCAAATTAAGTGAGGTACAGAAAGACAAATACCATGTATTTTCAGTTATACTGTAGTCTAAAACTATTAAATCCAATCAAGTACAGATATAATGACAGTTACCAGAAGCTAGGAATCAGGAGATACAGAAAGATGATGTGAAACGACAAAAATCTCAAGCAGATAGGAGTAATATGCATTTTTCCTCATACCCCTCCTCTTTTTTCTCTGAGATAGGCTCTACAGGGTGTTGAATGTAGCAACAATGTGTTGGATAAGTAAGTTGCAATATTGCTGAGGAAAAATATTTTATTGTTATTAACACAGACTATATTTAGGATGATTGATATGTTAACCCACTTTGGTAATTACTTCACACATATTCATAGAGCACAGTATCAATTTGTATTCTGTAAGTATATACAAGTATAGTTTCTGTAATTTGTTAATTTATAAGAAAAAATTTAAATAACAAAAATATTCATAAAATATAGTCAAAAGATTGGACATTGGGTCCCTGCATGATAGCTTAGTGGCTAAATGGCTAAATGCTCGCCTTGCAACCACCAGGATCCCACATGTGCACCAATTTGTACCTCGGCTGCGCTGCTTCTTTAGCAGCTCCCTGCTTGTGGCCTGGGAAAGTAATCGAAGATGACACAAAGCCTTGGGACCCTGCACCCACATGGGTTGTCACATATTTTTAAATTTTCAAAACCAGTGTGTGTAAAACTGAATTTATTTTTTCAGTCTGCATTATAATCAATGGCATGCTATATGTGTTCAGGATTGTTGTTATAATAAAATATCCCTTGTTCAACAGATATTTTAAAACAAAGAACACTTTGAAAGTCCAGAGGACAAGAACCGAAAACATTTCTTACAGGGCTTAAGTCAAGTTTTCTGTAAGGCGTTTCCTCCTGGAAGTTCCAGGGCCAGATCTGTTTCTGACTTGGCCAGCATCTCTGTGGCTGCTTGAACTGATCATTCTACAGCCCCAGCACTGCAAGTACTGCTTTCACCGAAGGCATTCTATGAAATGCTTTCTACGGCAGTGAGGTGACACTCCTGATTTTTTCTTACAAACAACTTTGTGATCCCGTCGGCACCACTCAGAGAACCCATGGTAATCTTTCCATTCTAATTTTGTTACATACTTCCGCAAATTCCCTCCTGGCTAATGCAACTAGCTATTTACATTACCCATTTACACTAGCTCTATATACAC